TTTATCATTAACACTTGTTTCTCTAGGTAATGTTGTTTGAATCACCATAACCATTATCAACCAGAGCTCTGAGAAATACTTAAAATATTACTATAAATTGTAGCAACACCTCCCCCTTTACCTTTTGGCTCATGTTTATAACAGTAATCTTGGGGGGTAGACTCATTTAAAATAATGTAATCATCTGGTTTTAGCCAGATTTCTGTCAAACAGAGCACAGCTAAGTTATGATCTGTGATCATTTCATTTACAAAAAGCACTTTTGTTGAAAGGGTTCTAGCATTCATTAAGCCAAGCTTTATCAATGGTTTATCTGTATTATATCTGTTTTTTATTTGTTGAACATCAATTAAATTGTTACCCTTAAATTGTTTTGGACGTTTTTTGTATTTGCTAGTTCCGGGAACAGACACAGTCTCTATAGTATGATATGTAGGTGAAAGAGTCTCTATGTACTGAGAAGAGATACAGCTAGCAGACGGTTTGTTTAGCCACTCTGTCTGCTTCCTGACCTGGGCCTCAGTTAGTCAAGTACAAACTCTAAGACTATGTGCCATATTTCTAGAGAGAAGAGTGGCACCACCCCTGGAGGGATGAAGACCATCTCTTTTCAACACGGGAACAGACACAGTCTCTATAGTATGATATGTAGGTGAAAGAGTCTCTATGTACTGAGAAGAGATACAGCTAGCAGACGGTTTGTTTAGCCACTCTGTCTGCTTCCTGACCTGGGCCTCAGTTAGTCAAGTACAAACTCTAAGACTATGTGCCATATTTCTAGAGAGAAGAGTGGCACCACCCCTGGAGGGATGAAGACCATCTCTTTTCAACAGGTCAGGTCTGCCCCAAAAACTCGTCCAATTGTCTATGAAACCTTATTCTGAGGGCACCACTTAGACATCCAGCCATTGAGTGACGACAGTCTGCTATATATCTCGTCACCACGGTAAGCAGGGAGGGAACCAGAGCATATTACAGTGTCTGACAACTTGCAAGTTCACACTCCTCTTTAATGTTATATAAGAGGGGAGACACACCTCTTTAATGTTATTTAAAGAGGGGAGACAGCACTGTCTAGGTAAGGGCTCAAGAGACCGCTCCTTAAACTCTAAGCAGGGGCCGAGCTAGCAGACAGCTATCCTCAGATAGCTTGACTCTAGGAAAGGGGACCACTGCAATTGTCACCAGCAGTGACTGTCTAAGTAAACCCAAAAGGGAAGACATCATTGCTACCAAACGGCTATACTCAGATAGCTATGGTCTGGAAAGGGTTAATTGCAGCTAAAAACACAGCCAGCCTCGAATGGCTGTAATTTAAGTAAACCCACCCTACCATAGCAGGGCTGGAATATAACCATCCTCAGATGGCTATAATATGTGGGTCCCCAAACCGGGTCAGTCCCACAGGCTAGCGAACCATTGTGTTATTGACCAGAAGCTCACAAGAGGGAGACTAAGACCATAAATGATTCACTCAGAGTGAACACATAAAACATCATCAGTCATCATAATCATTAGGGGAGAAAGATGATTAGGCCTCGGTAGCCTCGGGATGTGGAAGATGACCGTGCTTCTTATCTAGCATGTTCCTTTTTCCCTTTGTTAGCGGTAGGATTCCCTTGCCAGCTCCTAGAGGGAGGATGGGCGCGGTTAGCAATGCTAGACTTTTGATCTTGTCTATGAGCCTCAGTTCTAGACTGATCATCCCCCTTAAGTGAGGATTTGGAGTGCCGAGGAATGAATTTCCTGAAAGCAGTGATTGTGTTTTCGCCTCCCTGAACTTCTCCACAACCTCCTCGACGGAAGTGCCAAAAAGCCCGGCCGGCGAAAGCGGAGCATCGAGGAGAAAGTATTTTTCTTTCTTCCCGATGACCATGAGATTGATCCACAGATGTTTCTCTGTAGCCACCATTGAATGCTCAATGGCTCTTCGACCGCCTCAGGCGACAAGCCTGATAGGCTTGTAACACCACCATGGTGTGCAAAGCACCACCAGCCTGACCGGCTGCCACATACACCCTGCCATTCCAGCGCGAGGTGGTCTGAAGCACTACTGACAGCAAGGCAGAAGTCTTTAAAGAGGATGACTCACCCTGCGAGAGATAGCTCACAAATGTCTCTTCAACAGGGGGCATCCTTGCATATCCACACTCAGCCACACCTTCAACATTAGCATAGTCAGTGTGTTGAAAGGGATGCAACCGAAAGGAATACGGTTTCCCCCAGGATTTAGATATCTCTGAGTGGAGATCTGGGAGAAATGGAAGACTGCCGGGGTAGGGGCGATCAAGACTGGCCAAAAAACGTTCATCTAGTCGGCCGCGAGCCGGCTTAGGCTTCTCACATGTCCAAGCCAGATTGAGCCGCTTAGTGGCGTGATCCATCACATCCAACATATGGAGTTGCTGAAAAAAGAGACAAATGTGATCGGAGCTTTCACATAGAAAATTATTCACAGTGCACGCATACTCCTCCCCCAGGCACATAATGTGCATGTCCACAGGTGTCAAATGCCTAGGACACGGAGGCACACACTTCTTGAAACGCTCACCCGGGTTGACAGACATAGTACTCTTTTACACACTGCTCGCAAAAGACGGCTCCTGAAGACAGCAAAGAGGATAACGTATCCAGCAGGTGCCCTTTTATAATTCCGGGGCACCCTAGTGCCGTCATAGGCCAGGTGGACCAATAGATTGCCGTTGTTTCACACATGCTTCAGACACCGGTCATGCAGGCTGCATTCCCCAATGTGCCCCCTAGGTGGCGCAGCATGGAGTTCCCTAGAAGGGGAACCCAGAGATTCCCTCATTTCAGGGTTAACATACTCAGAGTTTTCACTTAACCTCCTTTCTGAAAGGGGCCTCAGCTCTGCTCTGGCTTTGTTTGGAACTATTACATTTGCAAAACGAAAAAAGACAAAATTAGTCTAAAATGTAACCCACTCAATCAACTTCTTGTCTGTTGAACTGCTGTATAAAATTAATTTAACATTTGCGATCAAGCACACATGCTGATTCTTGTGTGATAATCCTTAACTACATAAAGATAAAAAAAAAATACTCACATAGAGATATACAGTATTTCTTTCATTATTTGAATTACAGAGGCATTCTAACTGCATTCTAATAAATAGGCTTCATCGTGCAATGAATTGATTAAAATTTAAGACAAAATTAGTCTAAAATGTAACCCACTCAATCAACTTCTTGTCTGTTGAACTGCTGTATAAAATTAATTTAACATTTGCGATCAAGCACACATGCTGATTCTTGTGTGATAATCCTTAACTACATAAAGATAAAAAAAAAAATACTCACATAGGGATATACAGTATTTCTTTCATTATTTGAATTACAGAGGCATTCTAACTGCATTCTAATAAATAGGCTTCATCGTGCAATGAATTGATTAAAATTATTAAAGTTATCAACTGATATTCAAAATGGTAAGCAAGCGCTGCTTTGTTTATGTTTCATATATCTATGTTTATCTCGTATATCTTTGTTTCGGGTTCTCCTTTTGAATGATGAATATATAGGCTACTATTGATAGCTGCTTATATAGACAGTTAATTCCTCTCACCCATGCGCAGAACACACGTGTTAGTTTGCCGTCGGCTGTAGTCTGTGCGGTGTGTTCGAGCGCAGCTTTTTGGTCCGACGTGAGGCGACAACACCGTCGGCTTTCAGTGCCGCTAGTTCTTTGAAGTCGGCTTGGTGTGTCCCGGCCTCTAAACTACAATTACGATATTATCATAGATGATAAATATCACACACCCCTAATCAGGAGCTCTAAGTTTGAGCAATTAATTTTTTGCAAAGTCACTGACTAGCGTGAATTAGAAAAGGGTGATCATTTCTGAATGAACGCATCCCTCGTCTCTCTCTCTCAGTATTGTCCCTTCTCACAGTCACACATATACAGCACAAATAATTATGTCAGCGGAATGTCTTTAAACACTAACTAAGGAAATATCATACCTTATTATGTTATCTTCTTTTTAACATCAGAAGTTGCGCTCGAAACATTTTGCGCAAAAATTACGAAAACATGAGTGAGCTCGCACGCAGCTGGTTAATACTGAGTTCTAATTGGCCAATCGCCGTTAATTAGTTAATAAATTTTACGTAGAGAACATTAATATTTAATTTTCACGATAAGTTTTACATAATACTCACAGCATTATTAATCTAAAGGGGATGGTTAGGGGGGATGGTAGTTTTACAGAGGGGGAATGATTTTTGTAATTGTATTTGTGTACTTAGATGTTTATTAGTAAGAACCTAATTTTCATACAAACCTATTTACACATGAGTAATGTTTTTCTTAGTGAGGATAAATCCTGGTGTGCAGTCTATGAGTCAGTCACCAATATTTCCAGAAGGAAATCAGGTAAGAGAGCATAACGTTTACCTTCACATTATCCATGCTAAATTATCCTTCAAATAATATTCAACTCTTATGAATTTAATATTGTAAAACAATGTAGAAAGGAAGACATTAAAAGACAAACTGCCTTTCAATAATCAGCACCCTTCTTGCAGACCTTCTTTCTCACTCATTGAAATACTAAATAGCTAAATTACAAATTTGCTTAAAATAACGGTCGCCTAAAAAAAACTCACGCTGGGGGCTCAGCTAGAATATTTTAAACTCACGTGCGAAAGGGTTAATGTAATAGTAACCCTAACCCTAACATACTGTATAAAAACAATGAAACATAGGTATTATTATTATATTCAACTATAAATATAGTTGTAAATACATTATAAAACCATACCATCTCAATTAGGAAAAAAGGACAAGAGAACCAACCAACAGTAAGTTGTCTTAAAATCTGCTTTGTAAATTAAATTATTTTGTAAACTAAGTTTGCACTTCTATTGTATATATTTATCTGTTACATGTGGACAATGTTTGTGAAGAGTGTTTGAGTGTTCTTGTCTTTCATTATGTGTTTTTATTTATCTATAATTCTTTATAGAATTATCAAGGCACACTTCACATCACAGTGAATCAGATGAGAAACAACATGGGGTATGTGTGCACATTAATACTGTCCATAAACTGACACTGTTGTTTTATGTTTAGGTTTTCACACCATTCATTGCTGCTTAAATGAAGAATAAATACATTTAATATTCATCAGTATTCATCCTAAAAATTAATATACTGCATATTGTTACATTGTCAAAATTGACTTTATGTTGGGACTCTTTCATAAAGAACCACTGTAAAATGAATGATTGGATGTTATTGTGAAAGAAGTCTAAAATCTCTTCACTCTGTTGTTTTCATTAAATTAGAATTACAGCAAGAGCATCTCTGGTAAGTTTCCTTAAAATAATTAACACTTCATCGGTTATATTCATTCTAATATTTTTGTGCTATCCATTTTTGTGTAGTGTTTGTGTAAGTAAAGGTGAAAATCGTAATGGTTTAAGAACATCTTTCTCTCTTTTCCTCACAGATAATTTTCAGCTTGTTATTCCTCAAACAGCTCAAGAAGCACAGATTTCTATGGGGTCTAAAATCATTGTTCCTTGTCACTTGTCTCCTGAAATCTGTGCCATTGCCATGCAGATCAAATGGTTTAAGGAGACAGACTGTGTTTGCATCTACAAGAACGGACATGTGATTGAGGGGAGAAACTACAAAGACAAAGTGAGTCTCGCCACTCACATACTGGAGAGAGGAAATGTGTCCTTACATCTAAATAATTTCAGTGTCTCAGATGTTGGTGATTAATATTGTCAGGTCATCAGTGGAGACAGAACACAGCAGATTACAGTAGGAGGTGAGTATTCTGCAGGTCCATACTACATCAGCCCAGAGTGCTTATTAACAATATTTTGTCAGAATAAAGTAAACTGAAGTAATTGTTGGGATAGGATGCATTTTTAAGCTATAGTGTTTTATATAATGCCACTTATAGAAGCCCAATCCTAAATTAATTAGTGTAGTTGTGTAGTTATTAGTTGAGTATCTAAAATCACAGATTTCACACAAACCTATTAACACATTGTCTTCTTAGTGAGGATAAAACCTGAGGTCCAACATGCGAGTCAGTCACCAACATTCCAAGGCCGAAGTATTCAGCTAAAGCTGTTTGAGGTAAGAAAGCCTACAGGTTAATTCATTTAAATTGACTGCACTGTGTTTTGAATGGAATTTATTTATGCTGTCTAGTCTAATTATTAACAGATAGGTCAGGGATGTCAGATCATTTTACTTGGTTAGAACGTGACACTCAAGCATTTAGTATTAAAAAAATCTGTTAAAGACATAACTGAAGGAGTCAGTTAAAGTTTCTCACTGACATATTCTAAAACAATAGAATTAGCAATAGAATAAATTAATTTATTTTTAAAAAATTATTAAATTATTTACCATGTTTTCATATCTAGTTTGTATGACCCCAATGTATTTTTCTTCACCTTACAGATAGACAAAATATGGACTAAACAGGAGACAGACAAAATGAATAAATCTGCTCTAATGGCTGGTGAGTGTTATTGGAAATTTTACCAAGTTCACGAAAGGTTATATTCAAGAAACAGATGATCTATCTGATATAGGAAACAAATTAATTATATAATACAAATTAATATTAAGAAATGATTCTAAACATAATGTGCAATTTTTTTAGAGGAGCTTCAGAAAATGTTAATTAAGGCTTGCAAAGAAAAAGACAGACAGCTGGAAAGAGCTGAACAGGAGTTGAGAGAGACCAGAAAGATGTTGGACAGACTCTTAAGACTCAACCCTCATGCTCAGTTTTTGGACAGCGACAAATAAAATCCCGTTTGATAGCTAAGAAATGTGCCTAACTTTGAAATTTCAGGTTGATGCTTAATGCCTTTTCTTAAATTCACAAGAGCTATTACAATCAATATTTCAGTTTTTTTTCTCAAATTAAGTATACATTAATTAAGGCATGTTATTCTGAAGAAAATTACAAAGAATTTACAGTTTAACCAATGTTTGTTTTGTAACCTTCCACAAACTAAAATAAAGCAGCTTAATAAATGCTTATTTATAAATTTTCATTACTGTACCATGCCTTTATATTAGTAGAATTTCTTTATTTGCCAACTGATTAGCAACATATTCTTTTCAAGCAACAATCTGACAATACTTGTCGAACATCATGTAATGTAATATTTATGTAAGTCTTCACAAATAAAAGAATACAGACTCTTGTCACACACACACAAATAATAATAAAACAACACCAATGGAAGTAAGAATTGCCCTGACAAGTATGTTCTGTAAAGACAAATATCTGTGTGTGTGTGTGTGTGTGTGTTTGTGTGTGTCAGAGAGACACAGGTGAAAGTGAAACAGCATTGTGAGTGCTTTCTGTATATAGTATATAGCCCATATAGTAAGTAATTTTGAAACTACAAATTAGTCTGATCATAAAATATTTGCTATGTTTATTTGCTTTGCCAATAAAGCTTTTTTTAAATAATGCTTTAAAAAAAACACACACATTTATAAACTAGAAAATCTGAAAGATTAAAACAAGGGTACATAGAATTATTTAAACTTACATGTGCAAGAAATAAAATAGTTGTATTACTTTTTGTAAAGTTTAAATGAAAATGAATCAAAATTTTGGGGACCTGAAAATCACGAGACTTTCAAAAGTAATTTTCATATTTCAGAGCAATTTTTAATTAGGGGCGCTCTGCAACATGTCAAAACTTAAATTCTGGTTCCCTTTCAGTCGGTCACTCTCGACGTCACGTCGGTGACCGACAAATTGGGATCTCGAGAGACCAATCCACTTTGAGTGTAAACTAAATGAGCCAATGCACATTGGCATGCAATGATTGCATCCAGCTGCCGCTGATTGCAGCGCAAGTATAATTAGGCAGCAGATGCAACGCATACTCAGCTTTTCGCTTTGGAGCCGAGTGGTTATATTGTTCTGCTCCTGACTTCTCTGCTACAGAGTGAAGGCTCAACGAGTTCAGCGCGCTCTTGGGAAGCTCTGGTGTTGGCTCTGCGGCACTTCAGCAGCGGTGGTTCTTCCCGTGTCGAGTAGATTACACACATCAAGCTGCACTATCCCCTGTTTGTGTTACAGGCAGCCATCTCCCCTGTGCGCTTCAGCACATTTAAAAGAGCAATCTCTAAAAGAGCATTCACGGGTGGACCTCTTTTTAAAGACGCGTATTTTTATAGATGCCTTTTCACCTGTGCGTTTCTGGACGCAGTCGTTACCTGGTGCCGGGTGATGGTCACGATCGCTTCCTCACATGTCTGGGCGCTAAGCATGCTGAGGCGGCATTTGGGGACGAGTCATGCTCTCATTGCGGGAAAATGACCATCGCGGAGTTGCGGACCAGGCTCCGTTTCCTGCAAAGGGGCGGGGTTCCCATACCTCTGCCTAGATCTAGTGTTCCCCCTGGCAAGAGCCGGGGGGGGGGCGCTACTTCTGGCAGTAGTCAGACTGGTCTTACGGTGATGGTGAGGAATTCCCCTCCGAGGAACCAACCTCTGAGGGCTCCTCCTTCCACCGGCACTTCGAAGCCAGTGGAGCTGCCCAGGGAACAGGCTGGACCCTCCCGTAGGGTACCACTTGTATCCTTCAGCGCGCCCCCCGACGATGGGATGGCGATCGCTGCATCGGAGGGTGAGCCAGACCTTTCTGGAGATGATGATGATCCAGCAGCGCTGCCGCCTTCTGGGTGGCCAGCGATGCCGGATTCGGATACGGAAATGGTGGCTATGCTTGCCTGGGCCAACAAGAGGGTTGGGCTTGAGTGGAATCCTCCACCGCGTCCCGAGCCCTTGAGGCTGGATAATTGGTTTCTCGGGTGGCTCGCGCTGGTTCTCAGGGCCCCACCACGATCGCTTCCTCACATGTCTGGGCGCTAAGCATGCTGAGGCGGCATTTGGGGACGAGTCATGCTCTCATTGCGGGAAAATGACCATCGCGGAGTTGCGGACCAGGCTCCGTTTCCTGCAAAGGGGCGGGGTTCCCATACCTCTGCCTAGATCTAGTGTTCCCCCTGGCAAGAGCCGGGGGGGGGGCGCTACTTCTGGCAGTAGTCAGACTGGTCTTACGGTGATGGTGAGGAATTCCCCTCCGAGGAACCAACCTCTGAGGGCTCCTCCTTCCACCGGCACTTCGAAGCCAGTGGAGCTGCCCAGGGAACAGGCTGGACCCTCCCGTAGGGTACCACTTGTATCCTTCAGCGCGCCCCCCGACGATGGGATGGCGATCGCTGCATCGGAGGGTGAGCCAGACCTTTCTGGAGATGATGATGATCCAGCAGCGCTGCCGCCTTCTGGGTGGCCAGCGATGCCGGATTCGGATACGGAAATGGTGGCTATGCTTGCCTGGGCCAACAAGAGGGTTGGGCTTGAGTGGAATCCTCCACCGCGTCCCGAGCCCTTGAGGCTGGATAATTGGTTTCTCGGGTGGCTCGCGCTGGTTCTCAGGGCCCCACCCCAGTGCCTTTCTTCCCGGAAGTGCATGATGAGCTCACTGGGTCGTGGACGGCACCTTTCACTGCTAGAAAGTGCCCCGGTGGCTCATCCTCCCTGACCACCATCGATGGTGGGGCAGTGCGGGGGTATACGGAAGTCCCTCCAGTGGCTGCGATGCAATTGTGTCCAAATACCACTGCTACCTGGTGGGGCAAGCCGTCGCTCCCCTCCCGGGCCTGTAGGTACTCGTCGGCCCTAACCAGCAGTGCTTATGCGGCCTGCAGAGAAGCTGCCTCTGCCGTACACGCCATGGCACTGAAGGACCTGCACGAGGGTAGGCACGACCCAGAAGTTCTTAAAGAGCTCCGCACCGCTACCGGCCTTGCGCTATGAGCGACGAAGGTCACGGCGCGGTCTCTGGGCCGTGCAATGTCCACTATGGTGGTCCAGGAATACCATCTCTGGCTGTGTTTGGCTGACATGAGGGAGATCGACAAGACTCGGTTTTTAAATGCCCCCGTGTCTCTTCAGCGACGCAGTGGAGAACTTCACCCAGCAGTTCTCCGCAGCACAGAAGCAGACCAAGGCCATCAAACACATCCTGCCCCGGTGTGCAGCTGCTGCCTCCACCAGCGGCAGCTCCTCAGTCTTCTCGTCGCCGAGAGTGGCCCCCTGACGCCGCCCCCCACTCCCCCCAGCAAACGCAGCAGCCTCCAGCAAAGCAGCGCCGTGGAGCCGGTCGCAGGGCAGCCACCCCACCCGTCCAGGCCCCCGCTAAACCTGGTGGCAAGCGGAAGAGCAAGAGGCCCTGAGATGGGTGACCCAGAGATGGAGGGAGCTGCTCCAGCAGGGAGCCCCACTCCTTCCCCCGGAGGAGGGCCGGGTGGAGAATCTTTTGTTTCTTTTTTCCACTGACTTCATGGTCGGTGGTACCCAAAATCTCGACAAAAGAGCAGTTTCTTCTATTTCTGGGTTCCCAGATGGGAAGGGGAGTTGTGGACTGGCCAGTCTCAGATCACACTCACCCTGCTCTCTCGCCAGTGAGCAGCTGTGGGTGGTTCGAGAGTGCGATTAAACATACTACTCATGCACCCTCTGCCCGAATGCAGGTAAGTGTTGTACACACACTGACTCCGCTTCGGACGGGCAACGAGACGCCCGGGCCGGGTCCCTGCACATCTTGATCATGGCTGTGATTGCTGCCAACCACGACCTGTGGAAGGGAAGTCGGTGGGAAAGCATGACCTGGTCATCAGGTTCCTTAGGGGGGTGAGAAGGCTAACTCCTCCACGGTCCCCCTCTATACCCTCTTGGGACCTGTCTCTAGTGCTCAGAGCACTACAACAGGACCCATTTTAGCCTTTGCAGACAGTTGAGCTTCTATCAATGAGTTTCTATCAATGAAGACTCTGCTCCTGCTTGCACTGGCCTCCATCAAGAGGGTAGGGGACCTGCATGCATTTTCGGTCGACGATTCGTGCCTAGAGTTTGGGCCGGCTGACTCCCAGGTAATCCTGAGGCCCCAGCGTGGCTATGTGCCCAAGGTTCCCCGGAGGAGGCAGACCCAGCCCTAGCTTTGCTTTGTCCCGTCTGAGCTTTGAGATGCTACGTAGACAAGACACAAACCTTCAGGACCTCAGACCAGCTCTTTGTCTGCCACGGAGGCTGGCAGAAGGGCAATGCCGTCTGTAAGCAGAGGATGGCCCACTGGATAGTGGATACCATCACCCTGGCTTATCAGGCACAGGGTGTGCCCTACCCATTCAGGTTGCGAGCTCACTCTACTTACGGTGATGGTGAGGAATTCCCCTCCGAGGAACCAACCTCTGAGGGCTCCTCCTTCCACCGGCACTTCGAAGCCAGTGGAGCTGCCCAGGGAACAGGCTGGACCCTCCCGTAGGGTACCACTTGTATCCTTCAGCGCGCCCCCCGACGATGGGATGGCGATCGCTGCATCGGAGGGTGAGCCAGACCTTTCTGGAGATGATGATGATCCAGCAGCGCTGCCGCCTTCTGGGTGGCCAGCGATGCCGGATTCGGATACGGAAATGGTGGCTATGCTTGCCTGGGCCAACAAGAGGGTTGGGCTTGAGTGGAATCCTCCACCGCGTCCCGAGCCCTTGAGGCTGGATAATTGGTTTCTCGGGTGGCTCGCGCTGGTTCTCAGGGCCCCACCCCAGTGCCTTTCTTCCCGGAAGTGCATGATGAGCTCACTGGGTCGTGGACGGCACCTTTCACTGCTAGAAAGTGCCCCGGTGGCTCATCCTCCCTGACCACCATCGATGGTGGGGCAGTGCGGGGGTATACGGAAGTCCCTCCAGTGGCTGCGATGCAATTGTGTCCAAATACCACTGCTACCTGGTGGGGCAAGCCGTC